ATTCAAAAACCAACCCAGAAAGTTAATGGTTAGAATTTCTCATTGAGTTCGTGAAGTGTGCATTACCCATGAGTCTTCTTTGGCATGAAACAACTGATGGACATTTATACACGGAACGCGATGCATAATATGAACTTAAAACTCCCTAAAGTTCATGTGTAAATAGAATTAAGTGAGATGGGATACAACAGATACAATTAATATCATTACTATTATTATTCCCTGCTTCGTCGCTACACATCACAGTGCTTTTGCATATTCTGTGTCTACTACTGACAGGATAGACGAGGAATATTTTGACTAACTAGTAGTTTGTTCACAAACATGATTACTTCCTCTTTCACTATGTTACTCATGTAGTTGACGAAGCCACTTAGATCCTCACTATCATAAGTGAGGAGAAAAAACTCTGGTCAACCCGATTGTGAAAGATGGATGTAAATGTGAACGCAGTCCTACATTATTCTCGCTTCGGAAAGGTTTGTAAGACTGCATATTTTCACGAAGATAGTACAAAGACGAAAAGCACACAACGTCATTTTTGCGAACATAGAATTACTCCGAAAGAAAAACATGAAAAAACAACGAAATGAAGTCCTGGAAGCGATGAAAGTGAAACATGTACCTGCAGTAAGTCCATATTTTTGTTTTTTTGCCAAATTTTACTCTCATCTGTTTGAGCATACTCAATTCAAAATTGATCACATGATATTGCGCTATTGAGCGCATTTACCTACACGAAATTACGCAGTCCGTCGAAGCTGTTCCGAGGACCTGCTTTTAAGTGCGCTGACGCACATTGTCGTTTATCCCACGATGATTAGTGCGATAAAAGAGGGGAAATCTCGGGTGAATTAAGCCGTCCCAAAAACCAAAAAAATTGGCGAAATATCTCTCCACTTGGCAACAAGACAAGCAATCGCAGAGAGGTCGAGAGACAGGCAAGCAGAAAAAGGAACAGAAGGGTAGACGGGCAGCCGGGTGAACAGACAAATAAATGAATACGTGGATAAAAAATAAGAAATAAATAAATAAACAGAAGGACAGGTAGATGGACTGATGCTAGTAGTCCCGTTCTATATGAGAGGGTATCAGCATACTTCTATAACAAAGTGGTTAACGAGAACGAAATTGCAAATAAGCAAAGACGAATAGGCAATCAGTTAAGAACGGTTGTACTAATTTTGTGTTGATGGTCTCCGGAACAGTCAGGTAACGAGATAAAAATTGACGGACTTTTGTACAGAGAGTTTCAGGCAGGCCACTGACTGAAAGGATTCTTAGAACGACCTCAGAACCTTCATGATATAAGTTCCTAATAGAAAACGTGAAAAACAACACCGATCATGTGTGAGCAGCTCCCTGAACAGGCCGAAATGTACGTATTTAAGACATGAAAACGTCAGTTTCAATTCCACCGAAAGTATTTTTTTTGGACATTCTGTACACGAAGGTCCCACCAAAAAATTATACATAGGCTACATACAGATAAAAGTACTCACCTAATTTTCAAACGTTCACTGGTTGTCACTGCACGTACAGTGTAAAAACTATGGAGCAATGAGTATACTCATAAACGGTTCGCCGGCATTTTTCGAGTAGTATACAGAACAGGGGATTGTTTCTGAGATTAATTTCAAGGTGCTTTAATTCCCTATCCAGTAGGATGGATAAGTGATACATGGTGCATAGCACACACAAATACCCAGCTGTAATGCGACCGACCACAAAAGTAGCCCCAATTCATTCTGCACTCACTCGCGAGTTCAGACCGCAACATTTAATGGCTGAAATTTCGTAGAAACGCAGAACACATTTCAAAAAAAGTCACGGGATAGCTCCGCCCTAAGTTTTACAATCTGGAGAAGTAGTGAATTGCCGTCTTTGGCAAAGACGTTTACGTAGTCATCCAACTGTTTATTCTTTTGAGACAGTTTTCATCCTACTTGCGCTAATGGTCATCTAGACGCTGACGTAGCATTCAGGTAATGTAGATATTTGTCTTTTCTTCTCTCGAAAGAAAGGATTTACTGTGAGCATATCAATGTCGGGGGAGGGTATAGTGACCACGTGCTCTTAGGATCGTGATTCCTTAATATAACATCTAAAAGAGATGAGGTTACTCCAACGTGCTTCAGTATAGAAACATAGATTAACCTTGATATCCTTTAACTGAAATGGATTTATTTCAGTATGTAGGGTCGAAGATGAAATGGACTCTGATCCCACAGTGAAATGCTGACGCAGGCACAGTTAGATTTGGATTCCCATCATACAATTAGACAGCCGAGTTGGTCCTTCAGTTTCTGAGAGGACAGAAAGTAATGTATTTGGGACGGTCCTTTGATTTATTCAGCACTAGAACCCACACGTTAACACTGCACCCGACTCTTCCCACATTCAAGTGTCTCGTTTGTTGTAATCTGCTAATAAGGATGTACGGCGGATATGTGAATCATTTCGTTTGATAATTAATACGACGACAGTCAAAGTTCAACTGAGACGCAACTATAGAATGCTTGGTCTCACGGTTGAACAAGTTTGCTCAACTCAATATCTTCTTAATAACCAAGTTAAATAAGATGTCCATCTAACTCAAGTTGCTGGAATCAATTTCCTCAATGCCAGTGATATAAATGAGTGGTATCAGCTGATAAGCATGAAGCCAGTGGTGGCTAATTTAGCTAAGCAATGAAGACTAGGTAAATTCCGAATATCTTGACGAGGCTTCTGGTAAAATAGTGTCCGGTAAACTTTCCCCCTTCCAAAATAGCTACTAATATGATACATCAGATAGTAAGGTATTCATGCCGACTGCGTCATGATGGTAGTGAGTATGGCCGCTTGTTCTGCCTTCTTCTGAGTGCCCCCTTTACTAATGCATTAGATTTGGTGCAAGATACTTCGAGTAACGGAGTAAATTGCGCAAGAACTGTCAACCAAAAGGAGTCACATTTAGAACAAAAAACTCATAGACAGTATGCGATAGCATCGACCATTATTCGTAGATGCGATACTCTTAAAAGGAAGTACATAATGTTGGCTGCTCATCAAACTTAGGCTAGGCTGTCACCTCTAATCATTTAACGTGGACGATTTAGGACAGTGTACATTGGCTGTGATTCTTTCCCTTCTAGGGTAAAACAGTGGACAATCTTTGCAGATCAAATGAATGCACCTACTGCATATGTTCAACCAAGGCGCTTTGAACTGATAAATGGTTGTAAAGGCAAAACGAAAACCCTTCCATCCATCACGCTAATGACAGACATTGTAGTCTACCTTGATTGTCAGACAAACCCGCTTGTCTCCTCGCTTCTGCTGCAGGACCAGTACTTTCGATTTTATCAAAGGAGCAGCCATTGGCGAGGCAAGCAGACATGTTTTAAGTTTTGCCGAAAAACTGATCTGAGATATTTTGGGAATACGGATATTTTAAGTAAACCAATTGTGCCAAGTGAAAGTGGAATCTGTGCTCCTTAATCCCCAACTCATATAAGCATTACTGAAATCCCAACAGAGACTGTTAAGTTAACAGATACTGTACAGTTGCTTGTGAGCAGATATGTCCGTATGTCAAATGAAGCGCTATTGCATGTGGCACACAGTTTGGAAAAGCAAATCACGAAGCGTTCTCTTATTCTCTTTTGGTTTTCGACAAATTTTTCCAGTCATAGAAATTCAGTGCACTGACTGCCACCACCGGTTCCGTGCTGTGATCGAATCCACAGAGTCAGCAGTCTCCATCGCCCCTATCAAAACTGATAGCAAATTTCCCGCCACTTGGCCTTAGTTGGTTTGTGGACACTATGGAGTTGACACGTGCTTACCATCAGGTTGTCGGCACTCAGTCTAATGCGCATTCACAACTCTGGCTTAGGTGTAAGAGCCACTATCTGCTCCAATTCTTCACCAGTCAGCCGGCAGTGAACACGCCACCCGGTTGGTACCCCAGGCAATCATGAATGAGAACAAAAGCAACTGTAACAGATCAAGGGTCAGGAACCTCCCAAATAGGTGACTCATATAGACTGAAAACGATGTGTTATCAAATGACTCACCTGCACTGTAAAATACGCCACCAACCTGGAAGATTCGGCTAGACTAAAAACAGCAATGAAGCCTGGTGTGATTGACACATTATCCTAACACTGATGCCATCAAACCATCTTTTCGGCCAGTACACACAACAGGACATTATCACCTACTCCATTAAATAAAAAACGCGAAATGAGCAACCTGAAAAAAGTAGCTACCATCATTTACCAGGTACTTGGGGACGCCTAATAGTACTCACGGACAGGCCGGATTACCCCGGCACTGTAAAACCATTCTTGACGGCACTACCACTTATCTTCGTCCAGAAGAACTTGTAAAGGACCAGAGAAGAAGAATAGTGGTGAATGCGCAAGCAAGACTTGAATACCTAACGCTTCTATGGACCTTCACAGACGCGTAAATAAGTAATAACATCAGAGTCCATGTTATGAATTCTCGCAGCGTCAACATTAAACCGATTTCAGATAGATCATAGTTTTTGATCAGTAACAGGAGTCACATCTTCGAAAAACTAACAAACATTAGAAGTTGAGTTGTGCGGGTTTTGGTGGCCGTGGAGCCCATGTCCAAACGGTTCAGTGTTCATACTAACTAATAGCTGACTCCCTACTGGAACTGCATGAGATGCTCACTGCCAATGATGCCCAGGTGCAAGGTGTTTTGTTGGCGTTTCGTCATAGGTGGGCTCCACTTATTGTACGGAATTTTCATTTGAAAATAACATCAGTGAAGTTTCAACCCCCGTCATACCACTTACTGGAAATTCAATGGTGAATACCAGAAACAAGTGAGATGATCACCAAGAGGCTGTCAGTTTTAAGCTTTACTTGGAGATCATGATGTAAAGGTTTGAATGAGTGGTAGTTCACGGTATAAATCCAAAGTTGAGGATCGCCTGCGTGCATGAAATTCTTCTATTTTCCAATATCAGTGAACTGTAGCTAGTAAGTCGGTTGTTAAACAGCGTTTTCGGGGCGCATCGAATTCAGAACAGAAGAAGAAAGTGGGCGCGACCATCATCAAAATGCCGAGTGAGCAAGCACAAACCAAAGTCTACAGGAGAATGACTCAGATGGACCTAGCTCTGAACTACCATAGTGCCATCCAAGTTGCCACACGCACGGTGCCTCCGAATACGGTTCAAGTGGACTGATAAATGTAGGAACACAAAACGGGCCAAGGACGGAGAAGGCGCTTTTAAGTAACGTCTTTCATGGGATCAGGTATCCGAATATTCATCTGGTTGTTGCTGATATAAAAGGCAACCTGTTCAACACAACAACGCAGAAACTAGTCAAAAGAATGGCACTCCTCTTATGGACATTCTCGCGACCGAATACCAGGACGGCAAAATATAATGGTGGCCTGCAGACCCAGAAATACATTTTGTAAGGTAATATTAAAACTAGAGGGAAAAATGGAAGCCTTGAAGAATGTAAACGTTATTCACAGAATCCCAGCACAATGATTGCGATAAACATTACGTGGAACGAGCTTGAAGGAAAGCTGCTTACCAGGGGGTCAAATAAACCAACTTGCTGTTACGACCCACTAGCCACTTACCCGTCCCCGTAAATGATGAATAAGAAGGGAACGAATTCAACTGGAAAAATTTCATACGTTATAATTAAGCTTAATGAAGAAGGAACGGAAATTTATTTGGGTGTTTTACCCAATGGAGAAATCCATCAACAATGACACTGAGATAGACCCAGTCCTTCACTCTTAGGGAAAATGATTACAGATCCACCGAGCACATAAGAAATCGAAGACATACGAACGAAAGGTACTAAGAAAGCAGAAAAAACTTGGTGGATTAATTCAAACACTCTGTGAACAATAAGCCCGAAGACGGAATGTAAAAGCGAGTGAAGAAGGGCGTAACATAAAAAGACAACATGTGGATTGGACAGAAAACCGGAACGTTGGAACACAGTACAACAAGATCGTGGAATGGAATAACCAAATAAATAAAGGATAACTGCCTAAGATAGTAAGTGAAAAGATGATCAAAGTAAGTATGGAAAGGGGGGCAGATTTAAACACAAAAAGGGCAACTGGGTCAATAGGGGTGAAGGAACGGAAATGCTGAAATAAAAGTATTCAACGGATCAGTCAAAACGGAGATAATCCGGTCAAGATGCAGCAGAAAATTTAGACAAACCGGTAATATTGCGTGAGAGCAGCAGTACTTTAGAGGTACTAGATACATATTAGGAGCCATAAATACAAATGGAAATGGAGTTCTCCAATTTCAATGGCATTAGCCTGTCCAAGAATTGTTCTATATTGATGACTGAGTATTGCTTAGATGCCTGAACTGCTTTCTTTTGAAAGTTTGTATTATGGCATCCATGGTGGTGACGACTGTGACGTGTGTGATATTNTGTGATATTCTCTCGTTTTTTAGCTGTCTTTCCCTATTTTCGTCTTAGCATTTAGCCCCAAAACTCTTGAACCAATCAATGAAAGGAGCTGTCGATTACATTCGCATGTATTTTTCGCCAACTCGTTGGACAATACAATTGGTGGGGCATATTACTTTTGCTTATGTCAGTGATGCATATCTGTGCTGAAAAGCCGAACGGTAGTAAATGTCTGTTTATCCGTTATCCAGGATCATCACTAATGCCCATCTCGCGTCGAACTCCACAAGCTCCCGACTATTAGTTTTAACGGTCACCCGTGTGACCACGAGCGCTGATTAGCAGCGCGAATGGCTCGCCTTTAGAAGAGAAATAGTACTACTCACTCTTTAATTACGGGAACCATATCACGTGGTCACGTATTGGCTGGCTGTTCGAGTGGCAATTTCTCGGAATGAATTTCGCTCATAACAGGGAATTATTCTTCCGCTGAGCTAACTATGGTTCGACGACTGATGCGTGGTGGTTGGAGAAAATGTTCGTGCTTAGAAAAGACGAAAAACCTTGATGTTGTTAGAACGAGTAAGGATATCACATTAGCATATCACAGTACCGGTTAGGCGAGGTAGTACTCCAGCTGGTTTGGGCGTATATCATGACAAATAAGCACGTGCGAAGACTAAGCGTGATAATATTGGTACTCTGGAATTAATTTTTCATAACTGGGTTTTTTTCTATATCCTATTGAAGAGAAAAAGTCACGTCCGTTGATCCGCTTGATCAAGTTACCTGACATCAGCGAGTCAGCCACAATGTTTACCACGTTAGTAGAGGTGGGCTAATTAGTTTCACCTAAGTCGTGATTGTCTGAAGTCACTTGTGAAAAGCAAGTCAGTATGTGAGTAAAAAGAGAACAGATCTAACTTAGGCTTCTGTGATCCCGAGCGCCGCTATGGAGTAAACCAATTTCGAGCGCACATTGTAACTGAAAACCCTAACACACCGGTCACGATAATAATTAATTTTGAATGAGCTAATCTACACAATGACTGGAAATTAATTGTTTCCTTGACTGCTTATTGGTTGTACTTACAAAGCTGGTGGAAAACACCAAGCCTGTACTATATTACTTTTGTTAAATTTTGGGCTGTATCTAACTCTCTGGGAGCGATGGCTCGGCACATAAAACGGGTCAGTGCAATCAGCCTTCAATAACCGCAAAACACAACTTATTCAATCTCCGGTGAATATGATGCTTTGACTATTAATTCGCTTACGTAATATGGATACTGTCAAGGTGATAGTGATGTGGATTGGAAGCGTGCACATATGTACCCTGATGTGTGGGGTACTAATAACGAGTTGGTATTTTGTGGTTCACGATACGGAACTTTAAGTCACACGTTGGCTGACGATCTCGAATATCAAAAGGTAAAATTGGTTTTGAAATCATGCGGTACTATTCACACGAAGGTAAGCAAAATTACGCAAGAAACCTCATTTACCCAAGTTCATGGCGTCCAGTAGTGTACAAGTCTTTCATCGACCGGCGCAGTTCAGATCCGCGTGGGTTGCGGGGATCCATTCCGAGAATGGTCCCACAATTCTGAATGGCGGTGCGACCACACATAAATCATGTTAGAGCAAGGCAGGATGGTTCAGCAAACGGGGAACGAACACACGTGGGTAAGTTATTCAGTTGCGCACATTCACACACACACACACACATGACAATATACCAGTGTCTGGCGGGACCGCCTTTGGGGCGAGGTGGATGGAGAGTACAAGTGGACAAAGCAAGCAAATGAATGAGGAGATTGACATGAGGTCAATTTAGAATCAATGTAGTGTGTCTGGAGAGCATCGCTTTTTATTTTTAGGTCAGCAGTTTGAACTGGTATCCCACACAAGCTAATCTGCTGGCACGATCACTGAAAGTGCATCATTGCTCCAAGCTGCATACGCAGAAATGTTGCGTTGCATTTTGGTCATTGTCAGCTGAACATTCCTTCTAGCCACATGCAACGAATGTATTTCTCAAACCGTCTTACGCGTTACGTCCCGTTTGGCAGAACGACAGAGGTCAGTCTTCCTCAAAGTTTCGCCTTCCAAGCCAATCATCTTGGGTACCTTGAGCATAACACACATGCAATCTGAACAAAGCATGTCAATGTCATTGTATTGTTGGCCCGTGACAAATACGATATGATGTGAAGTAGACATTGGGAAGGACACGATTAAGTTTATGAATTCGAGAAAGATGTGAAACGGTGACAGACTCCTATCACTTTTTTGGCCAGTTCCAGAAACCGCAAATGTTTAGTTTCGGTCCATTTCCAACCTCCAAATAACTTCATTTATTTACTTCAGTCCATGGCCTTTGTATAAATACAAAAACTGAATTTCAAAAAGTTCTTGCACAAATACAAACAGCCCGAGGACGGATGTCTGCAGTATTTGTTGTGTTGGCCGAAATTCCAAAATTTTCACATACAGTCTGCGTTGTTAAGAATTCAAACGAACGCAGGTGAATTAGGTGGAACATGACAGAAATTCGCGAGTCTAATGCGGTCGAATTAAGGTTTGCATTTAATAATAATGCATGAAACAAATGCCAGTTCCATAGGCTTGCCTTTTAAGCCAACATTGACCGAATGCGAGCCATCTTGATCAGCTTACACAAATCTTTGTACACAGTTCGGATGAGACATAACGTTTTCCCTCAGCGCTCTCACGAACGGCAAGACATCTACTGTCCCACCGTACAACCAATAACAAAACTACAGAATACAAAAGATGGAAGTACAGATCATTACATGCCGAACAGTCAAAGCGGTGGAGTCAAATCCGTACACGCCATAATAAAGTTGCTCCAGAGACCTGTTGGGCTGCACATGTATTATGATGTATGTATGTTTGTATGTATGTATGTATGTATGTATGTTTGTATGTATGTATGTATGTATGTATGTTTGTATGTATGTATGTATGTATGTATGTTTGTATGTATGTATGTATGTATGTATGTTTGTATGTATGTATGTATGTATGTATGTTTGTATGTATGTATGTATGTATGTATGTTTGTATGTATGTATGTATGTATGTATGTTTGTATGTATGTATGTATGTATGTATGTTTGTATGTATGTATGTATGTATGTATGTTTGTATGTATGTATGTATGTATGTATGTTTGTATGTATGTATGTATGTATGTATGTTTGTATGTATGTATGTATGTATGTATGTTTGTATGTATGTATGTATGTATGTATGTTTGTATGTATGTATGTATGTATGTATGTTTGTATGTATGTATGTATGTATGTATGTATTGCGCCGATCTTTTAAGCTGCTAGAATGGCCGTGTTCCCTATCGCAATATCAATGAGCCTTGGAGAACTCAGAAACGAAAAAGTAGAAACAACGATAAACTTCACATACAGTTCATACAATTCAAACGCTGGGTTCAAGGGCCGCATTTCCTGAACTTGACCCGGAATCAACCAAACGCGCCTTGCATTACCAATATTCGCACACACATATACAAAAAGCCGGAATTCTTTCATTCTTAAAGTACGAATGTAAACAGTGAGTGGTAATTGTAGTAAATAAGTGTAGTAATTGGTAAGTGGACAGTATAAAGCAGTTGGAGCGAATCTTAAACAATCAAGATACCACATGCATCGAACAAGACATAAATGCTTCGGCAGTTGAATTGGTTGAAAGCCCCTGAAATGGACCGATCAATCTGAAGATTTCAGAAGAATACATTAGACTAA